TGATCGGCACATCTCTACATATGAATAATTAGATGCATTAAAAAGTTGAATAACTGAGGAAACGTCATGAAGAGAAAGGAAATGAATTACTGATAAAAAACCAACCAAGTCAAATGAAATGCATTAAGTTCAGTGAAGATATTAAAGTTTAAGTTGAAGCTGCAAATATCTTGATGGACGGATCCAGCTGGAGGTTCGGCCACCAGGGGGCGTGTGTGAGCTGCGTTAGCTTGCAGTGGTTCTACTCGGTTCTGTTTGTCTGATCGGCCTGTTGCCATGGTTACAGGGAGGAGGTGAACGAGAAGCTGAGGGACGCGCCGGACGGGACCTTCCTGGTGCGGGACGCCTCCACCAAGATGCAGGGGGACTACACCCTGACCCTGAGGTACGCCGGCGCCGCCCAGACCTGCCGGTCGGGTTCTGGTTCTGGTTCAGACCCGGCTCACTCTCTGCTCTGGTTCTGGTTCTGTTCAGGAAGGGAGGCAACAACAAGCTGATCAAGATCTACCACCGAGACGGGAAGTTCGGCTTCTCGGAGCCGCTGACCTTCGGCTCGGTGGTGGAGCTCGTCGGCCATTACCGGCACCAGTCGCTGGCCCAGTACAACACCAAGCTGGACGTTCGCCTCACCTACCCGGTGTCCCGCTTCCAGCAGGTGAGGTGCATGCTGGGTAATAGACTGCAGCCCACTGAGAAGGTTTCAGATGAATTTCTCCTGTTTTTGTCCAAACTGCAGCAGATTGAAGGTCCAGTTTTTCACTATTTAATTTTACAGTTTAATTTCAATCTTTTAGTTTTATTAGTTTCCTACTTTATCCAAATAATGTGCATTTATCGCATTTAATTAGATTTATTTTCTCAGTGGTTCATGTTGTTTTTCTCTTAGTAATTTCTGAACCTTAAACTCTTCCAGTAAATTGAAATCTGCTTTTTATCAAACCCTGAAAACTCGCTGCCTTGTCTGATCAGTCAGAGACGTTTGGATCAAACTACATCTGAAAAGACTCAAGTTCTGATATTCAGTTATACACCATGATCATTTAAAGTGGAACTCCAATATGACGACATGCCTGGGAATAACATGAACAAAACCATGCAGAGCTGACTTTATTAGGGCCGACCAAGAAGTCAGCAGGACATCAGACGGGGAGATGCTCTGACTCGACTTCAGCTCCACGACTGAAGCTACGAAAATCAACGAGTCATTGTGTCCCTTCCTGGCATTTACTACAGAAATCCCAGACAGACGGTTTAAAACATGGAGCCAGGTTATATCTATTCATAAGGAACAGCAAAAAACCCAGAATAAAATGTGAAATATTACGAGGTATGGCTGTACCTGACTAGAGGATATTATCATGCTGCCCAAATATACTAAATATAAATACCAAAAATATTGAACAGAGTCCATGGAAGATAATTGGAGCATCACTGGAGATATAGAGGCAACCAAGAATAGACTTAAGAATGTTAAACTGTCTCTGGCTTCTCACTGGGTAAATGGTTATATAATCCAGATTAGAGAAACCGTTATGTCTGATCCAGTGGCCAGTTACAATAAATACTTTATACAATTTAAACAATGGCTAAAACATGAAATAGACCCAACCGAAAATGGGGTAAAAAGGATAGAGCAGAATCTGCACTAGAAAACAGAGGCTCGAACACATTGGATATTAAAACTGAATGGGAATTCAGAAGACGACTGGCTGAAGATCTGGACGACCCAACATCCTCTCCCAGCATCTGGAGGAAACACTGAGAGGAATATAACCAGATTCTTCATAACACCCAGAATCACCAGTAAATTCAGATCTGGAGTTCAACCATGTTGGAGACTGTGGAGCGTAATGGGAACCACACATGTTCTGGCTGTGTCCCAGAATGACACAGAGATTGTACCAGTACTGGGCTACACAGTACCTGAGACCGGTCCGGTTTCATGTCTTGGTCTTTTGGAAATGCTGTACTTACTGATGGTTATTTGTTTAAAATTCTGCTGGTGGCGGCAGAAAGGTGGTGCCAGTCTGAACCTCCTACCACAAAGGAATGGATTCAGACTGAACTCGTTATTTGAGATGGAGATTCTGTCAGAGGACACAGGAAGAGCAACGCCAGGACAAAATGGACACATCAGCGTGACGGGACTAATTTTGGATAAAATGGTCCCCTAGTGTGCAGTGTTTGTTTCTGGTTCTGTATTTTCTGTGTCTTGTAGCTACAGCAGGGCAGTGAAGGCCAGGGGTTTCCCACCCTGCCCACCAGGGGCTGAAGCTAGATTCGGTTCACTGAGTGTCTTTAACAAATCTGGTTTGGTTCTGTGCTGCCTGGTTTTGTGTTTCTCTGTAAACCTTGAAGTAAATGTTTGACCTTAAACTTGTCCCTCCATCTTCCTCCCCTCTCTTGTCCTGACCAGGACCAGCTGGTGAAGGAGGACAACATTGACGCTGTGGGGAAAAAGCTGCAGGAATACCACAGCCAGTACCTGGAGAAGAGCAAAGAGTACGACCGGCTGTACGAGGAATTCACCAAGACCTCCCAGGTAAACGTCCTGGTTTCCAACCAGCATGGCATCGCTTCACGTCGTTCTGCTGCCCCCAACCTCCTCCTCCTCCTGATCTCCTAGGAGATCCAGATGAATCGCACGGCCATCGAGGCCTTCAACGAGACCATCAAGATCTTCGAGGAGCAGTGCCAGACGCAGGAGCGCTGCAGCCAGGACTGCGTGGAGCGCTGCAGCCGCTGCAGCGGCGACAAGGACATGGAGAGCATCCTGGTCAACTTCGAGAAGCTCAAGTCCCGCCTGGGGGAGATCCACGACAGCAAGGTGCGTTTGGAGCAGGACCTGAAGACGCACGCCACAGAGAACCGCGAGACGGACAAGAAGATGAACAGCCTGAAGCCCGACCTCATCCAGCTGCGCAAGATCCGCGACCAGCACCTGGTGTAAGTAGGCAGGGGGCGCACCGCCACTTCCTGTCTGGAAAACTGTTTGGTGACTGTAGGAGGAAGTCGGCAAAGTTTAGAAACGTAACAAACCAGCACCCTCCTTGGACATTTAAAAGCATTTTGTTGGTGGCAGTGATACCCCACAGTGGGGACAAAATAGAGATTCAGAAAACTAAAATCCTGACAGCGTTCAGGTTCACATGGTTTCTGCTCCACTTCTGACCAGCATTTCCAGCCATGTCCTCTTGCCTACTTTGGACTCTGGTGAATCACGTGGTATGATGGCCATTACATTCAATATCATCTCTAATTACTCAAAGATACTCGGTCGTATCAACGCAACAGTCCACAAACTTCTGGCAACCAGTTCATGACGTCAGTTTGATTTTGTGCAAAATAACATTGTTACTTATTATTTAAAATATTTTTTTCAACTGAACCATTCACATTTAATTCAACTTTTCGCAGTAGGAACAGGATTTGGGTCACTTTCTTTCAAAATGCTTGCTAACAGTTAGCCTGATTTTAGCTGATTTGGCTGCAGCAGTCGGTTTTTCAGTGAGTTTCAGCAGAAACGCGGTTCTACTTATAGAAGTTCAGTGATATAAATATGAAAACTTTGTTTTTAGACCGCGTCTTCCTCTGTAATCAGACGTTCTTCTTCTCCTCCTCCAGCTGGCTGAGCCAGAAGGGAGTCCGGCAGAAACGAATCAACGACTGGCTCGGCATACAGAACGACGCCGCCGACGAGTGAGTGTCTGCCTCGGCTGGAAGCGGCCATGTTTGTGGCGTGGCGTTCTCACTGTGAGTTTCTGTTGCTGCAGAGGCGGCGAGGAAGAGGAGAGCCTGCCTCACTACGACGAGAAGAGCTGGTTCGTAGGAGACGTGAGCCGGACGCAGGCGGAGGAGCTGCTGGGCGGGAAGCCGGACGGAGCCTTCCTGATCCGGGAGAGCAGCAAGAAGGGCTGCTACGCCTGCTCTGTGGTGTGAGTACGCCACACACCCAGGGCGCCGCGAACCAATCAGGGAGGGTCGGGTCTGGAGCAGAGAGGGAGCTAACTTACCTAAACTACCGTGGTTACCGTGGTTACCATAGTGGGGCCGAGGGTCGTATCTGTCTGTTCTTCATCCATCAGATTGGAGCAAAGAGTTTCTGGACATTAGCATTAGCTGCTACATGATTAGCATTGAGATGCTATTTTAGGCTAACATAGCTTTGCTGATAAGCTAACTTCTTTTATCACAACTTGAACACAACAGTCTTGTTGTCCACTCAGATTGTTTAGAAGCAGCTTCACTGCTGCTGCTAGTGGATGTAGCCGTGCGTCACATTTATGGGCGTACCGGAAACATGCAACACTGGAACCTTCAAATGGAAAATGAAATAAGAACAGTTTTTAATTGCGTTAAAATTTTAGCGCTATAACATCTAAACATAATGAACACGCCGCAGTGGAAGTGGCAGTGTTGCCTAGCAACCTTCTGTCCCAGACTGCAGAGCAGCTGAACATTCAGACGGTTGATCTGCCTGAGCTTCTTTAGTAGCCAAGGAACCCAAATTATTCAACTTGTTTCGGCCCTAAACCTGAAACGGGACAGGAAAACCAAGGAGCTGCAATGGCCTAGTCAAAGTCCAGACCTTACTAGTGCAGAATCTGAAACAGTTTGTGCCAGATCCTCCAGAACCCGACCAATTTCCTCCTGTGTGTAGTTTGGTAGTTTACCCCCGTGTCGTCCCCGCAGGGCGTCGGGCGCGGTGAAGCACTGCGTCATCTACAGCACGCCGCGCGGCTTCGGCTTCGCCGAGCCGTACTTCCTGTACGGCAGCCTGAAGGAGCTGGTCCTCCACTACCGCCTCACCTCGCTGGTGCAGCACAACGACGCGCTCAACGTGCGCCTCGCCCACCCCGTCCACGCCCCCACGCCGCCCCTCTGCAGGTGAACCCAGGGGCGGGACTAGATCTATTTCTACTAGAAGTTCCCGGGCGGCGCTCTACATCTAGACTGCTTGATTTGCACAAGAAGTGAATGTAAAGAGAAAAAACGTTTCAGGTTCAACGCCGACCCGATCGACTCCGTCTGGAAACATTCGGCCTGCCGGGCCGCCATGTTGGGGGCGGGGCCTCCGGTCTGGGCTTCAGCAGATCCACAGGAGGCGTCCGTTCTGAAGCCTGATCAGAAACGCCTGCAGCGAAATATTATTCATCTACTCTAAATTAAAACCATTCAGAAAGTTCTTCAGCTTCTTATTCACTCCGGTTCCAGTTCCGGCTCTGGGTCCGGTTCCGGCTCCGGCTCTGGGTCCGGCTCCAGTTCCGGTTCCGGCTCTGGGTCCGGGTCCATTTCCGTTTCCGGGTCCGGTTCTGGGTCCGGTTCCGGCTCCGGCTCTGGGTCCGGC